CGTCAGGGCGACATTTCTGGGAGGTGGAGGTGGGAGACAGGGCCGACTGGGCGGTCGGGGTGTGTAGGGAGAATGTGGTGAAGAAAGGGTTTGACCCCATGACTCCTCAGAATGGGTTCTGGGCTGTGGAGTTGTATGGGAATGGGTACTGGGCCCTCACCCCACAGCGGACCCCTCTCCCATTGGCAGGGCCCCCCCGCCGGGTTGGGATTTTCCTGGACTATGAATCAGGAGACGTCTCCTTCTACAATATGGCCAACGGAGCCCATATCTATACTTTCTCCAATGCCTCCTTCTCTGGTCCCCTTCGGCCTTTCTTCTGCCTGTGGTCTTGTGGTAAAAAGCCCTTGACCATCTGCCCACCCACTGATGGGCCTGAGAGAGTCACGGTAGTTGTCGATGCCAAGGACTTTGCTAAGGAGATCCCGCTGTCCCCTATGGGGGAGGACTCTGCCTCTGGGGATACGGATACCCTCCACTCTAAGCTAATCCCTACCCAGCCCAGCCAAGGGGCACCTTAAGAAATCTCCCAGCTAAACCGTTCTCCTTTATGCCAAGCCCTCCCCTCAGTCCTCTCTGAGTCGCCAGCCCCCGACCTCACCCAGCCCCTGTTTCTTCCTGTTGGGTAGGGATCAGTTGGTCTTGGGAAGGTTATGTTGCTGCTGTTAGAGAGCGTGGGGTGTAGGGCCTTCCTAATCTGTTTCTGTACTGGTACTCGGGGCAGGCGCGTGACTCTGAAGCTGTTTCTAGTGTCCTCCTACCCCTCCCCCCAGGCCACATCCTATAGGGAGGGACAGCTCGGCTATCGAGATGGAGTTAGGTTGGCATGTGGTTATGACAGAAACATCTCAGTGTCCAGAAGAGGGATGAGTAGAGGAACAGCTTTTACACAAGCGGGAAACCCGAAAGGTTCTGGGAAGGGAAAATTCGAGGCTGAAGTCCCATAACGGAACCTGGGGGGACATCGCAGTGGAGGAAAGGGAGGGGAACCTAGGCCGATGACCAATACCTGGCCTGCTCCTAGAGTTTTAGGGCCTGTCTCTCAGATTTGCTAAGACATGTCCTACAGCGTAAAGGGGACTGGCCCTACTCCCGTGGGATCTGAAAAAAATGGTGTGGGGCGTGGAGAAGGGATGAAGGGAGCAGGGCTGGGGCCCGGACAGAAGATCTGACCCCGGGAGAAAACGGGAGACCAAACCCAAGCTGTGTGCGTCGCCGGGACGCGGAGCCTGCTTTCCATTCTGCGGCCTCCTGTTTCCCCCTCACCTGGAGTCATTCCAGCCTCACTTGCTGGGCCCCACAACTTTCCAGCTCTCTTCCTCCTTTTGACTTAGAATCTCTCCATCTCAGAGCCTTTCTAGAAACCCTGGTCGGTGATGTCCCCTCTTCAGCAGCCGGTGTCGGCCTCGGGGCCCCTCAGCCCTCATCCCAACATCCGGTTTAGCCCCCTCAAACCCCCCTTCCATCCGCTCCCCAAGCAGCTCATGCCCACGCCCACCGGTCACTCTCCCCGCCCAGCTTTCCTGCGTGCCGTTCTCCCCGGGGTCCCCAGAGGCTGTGTCATCGCGCTCGACACAGCTAGACTGACCGCACCTGCTTGTGTTTGCGCTTTCCCGTATACTCGGGGCTTGTCACGCCAACGGACCGCAGGTGTATCTGGGCTCGCCCCTTCTACTTCCGTTGTGTTCTTCCAGTTTCCAGCATGGGTGTCGCCCGTGGTCTTGACCTAATAAATAAGTCTGTTGATTGCTGAAAGCGGCATCTGCAACCTTCCTTTCTTTATCCCAACAAGTGGAACCGAGACAGAAACAGGAAAGAAACCGCCGGGGAGTGCAGCTGCCCGGCCGCGGCAGCGTGGTTCTGTGTAGCCAAGACTCACCCGCAGGCCTGACGGCAGTGGGCTCACCGAGGGCGCAAGGGCTATCGTCCCAGGAGGGTCTAGCTGCTTACAGAAAGGCCAGGGTGCCAGTCGCTGCCTCCCCTCAGCCTCTGTGTGGGTGGTGACGCCGTATCGGCTGCTGAAGAGGTAACTGACTACGGGTGTCGGTGAGTGAAGCCACCTCTTGAAATTTTAACAGTACTTTTCCAGGAGGAGGAAATATTGGGGAAATTGTGAATTGTAGGGCCTAGTAATTGGAAAAATAAAAATAAAAACCTTGGGTGATCTTTAGACACCCCTCTTTCAGAGGTGCCTGGGTGGCTCAATCGGTTAAGCATCCAACTCTTGGTTTGGGCCCAGGTCACACTTTCCCAGTTCGTGAGTTCGAGCCCCACATCAGGCTCTGGGATGGCGGCGTGGAGCCTGCTTGGGATTTCTCTCTCTCTCTCTCTCTCTCTCTCTCTCCCTCTCTCTCTCTCGTTCCCTCTCTGCCCCTTCCCTGCTTGTTCTCTGTCTCTCAAAAATAAATACACATTGAAAAAAGAAAAGAAAAAACCACTCCCCCAGAGGGGAAGCTCTGTGGATTCCCACTTGAGGACCTGAGGACATCTGTAGTTCAGTGAGCTGAACGCTTTCCCCTGTGTTGCCCCAAGCAAGCAAGGATCGGGAGCGGTCTCCTTCACACATGGTCTGACCTTAATGCAATTCAACCAGCTCTGAACGTGAGTCTCCAAAGGATTCACCAAATGGTGGGCATATCACCTAATATGCGTGTCTTCTGCTAAGGAGTCATCAAAGTCAGATCCGTTCCAGGTCAAGCAAGAAATCCAGATCCCGATTATATCCACACTAACATATTATTTCCATTATTGCACCGCATATATTTCTCTTGATTAAGATAAAATCCAACTTTTCTAAATTTTCAGTCTGCTGACTACCCTCACAGAGGATTGTGGCAAATTTAAAACCCAGCATTCTCTCTTAGGGGAAAATTCTGAACACCAGACAGGTCTCTTACCATCACATTCACTGTGTATTGTGACAGGTGATATTGTCAACAACTCTATCACTCACCTTTGTGATTGTCACCTCCCAGGCCCCATTTCCATTTAGGTTTTGATTATGGTTTTGGTTTCAGTGTCTTCCTACGGACTTGGGGTTCAAGACCTACATAACAATATCTAGATAATGACATTTCCACATATGCATTATTGTAAAGTCATTCCGCATAAAGGCTTGTAAATCAGGCGACCACACAGGTGGTATTTGGGAAAGGGATCAAGAAGAAACTATAATGCATGAGAAGTGACTGTCAACACTTAACTCCATCTGCCTCCTTTCAGAGATGAGAGTCTGAAGCCAAGAGACATAAAGTGATTTCTTTCTTTTTTTCTTTTAATGTTTATTTATTTATGAGACAGAGAGAGACCGAGCGTGAAAGGGGGAGGGTCAAAGAGAGAGAGACACACAGAATCGGAAGCAGGCTCCAGGCTCTGAGCTGTCAGCACAGAGCCCGACGTGGGGCTCGAAACTCACAGAGCGTGTGAGATCACGACCTGAGCCAAAGTCAGAAGCTCAACGACTGAGCCACCCGGGCGCCCTGACATAGCGTGATTCATTAAAACATACAGTCTGTGCCTAAGCCAGGACCTGAAAGCGGGTGTCCTTGCTATCTGTCCAGGACATCTTATACTGAACAAACTGTAGTTGAGTAGGAGGACTAAAGACTCCGAGATATTATCAAGGTGGGACCCGTTGGCTCAGGAGCTTCTTAGGCACGAAGAGGGTCAGGAGAAGAAAAGAGTAACTAAGTGTGCCACCTTATACTTGTGCCAAGGGCTGGCACCTGGAGAACCAGACAGAAAGGGCCCCTTCCATCATCTCGTGGATTCCCCCAACACCCAGTGCCCTCCTTGCCACGCCCCTTCCTCAAACACTTCTCACCCCACACTGTCCTCCCCAGGCCGGCCACTTACACGGCACCCCTGGGAGAAGGACATCATATAGCGCGACTCGAGTGTTCATGTTTGTTCAAATCATACTTTCAGAAAGTCGAAGAAAAAGTCTCGAGTCTTTCAAAAATACGTGGGAGCCTCAGGCAGTTGCTTTGCCGGTGTAACGTAGAATGTGTGTCCGGAGACGTATTTGTGAAACCTCACCGAGAACAGACGG